AATTTATCGTTGTGAGGTCACCCCTCAGTCCATCGTATATCAACGATTCCACTACTTTGGAAGGAATGGATAGAAGTGTCACCGGTCTGTACTCCTTTGGATTGCTCCGTGGACCCCCTTTGAAGACTGGCGCTATGTGGCCCAGCTTCCAAGAGTCAGGTACTATCCCCTGACTCAGAGAACTCTTTAATAACTTACTTAAGGGTTCAGACAAGACCGAGGCTCCCTCTCGCAGTACCACCGGATGGATTTTATCTCGTCCCGGAGAGGTGTCTCTGATTAGCAGTAGCAGTTTGCGCTGTGCTAGCTCAACGCTTGGGTCGACCACTGAGAGTCCTACTTTGTTAGTGGGACATTTGTAAGCTCCTGAGTAGGTGGACGATGACGAAAAGATTTGCAGAAAATGGTCGGCCAAGAGCTCAGCTGCTTCGATGTCGGCATCACTCAGTCCGTTCACACCTAGTAGTTAAGTGACTCTCGCTTTAGCCTATCGTAATGCAGCAGTGTGGTGGAAGAGACTTCTCGGGTTGGACGCAAACATGTCTATGAGCCTGATTTGATACCACTGCCGATCGGCTCTCAAAGCCTTCGTAAACATGTTTCTTGTCTGCCTGAACTGTCTGTAGGTACATTCGGTGCCAATCCTTTTGTGATCGGCCCAGTGACGTCCCTTCAACTTAAGTGGTTTGCAAGTGTGGTTCCTTATCACCTTAGGTAACTTGAGGCACTTCGGCCTCGATTGATCACATGAATGATCTTGTCAAGTGTGAATTTTCAATGGGTGTTCGTATCTTGCCATGCATGGCTAACTTCCCAATCTTTCCTCTTCAGTGCGGTTAGAAGAGCCGGAGTGTTGAGTTGTCTGAAGTCCCAATGATGTTCGTTGAAAGGTCTGGTTAGATTGGTTTCGCAGACAAATTGGAAGCCGATGACAACGTGGTCACTACTACCCAAAGGAGGAGGATCGCTAAGTTGTCTAACAAGAATTCTTCATTTGTGAAGACGCAATCTAAGCGAGATAGGGTTTGAGCCTCCCTAACTCGCGTTACCGTTCTCACATTTCCCGTAAGCCCCAGCCCATCAGTCAAGTGGAAGAATCTGGCTTCAGTGGAATTGTCGCTCCCTTTAAACGTGCGATCTGCAAAGTTGACCTTCGGCAGGTTAAAATCTCCTAAAATCAGCATGTGTGCCGCAGTTTAAGAGAGCAAGTGATTGCCTCCAGCATCTGGTTGTCATATTGTGAATCAGCGGACAGTTTTCTGTAAATGACCCCCACCAAGCACTTTGTGGTCTTGGGCAGCTTTATGGTGCACCAAACGGACTCTTCGAGGCATTCCAGTCCTTGGATATGGATTCGGTGGGCTGAGAGAGGGGAGCTGACGTAAAGTGCTACCCCACCCCCTGCCAGCCTTCCTGTCACTATGAAACAGCATGGTATTAGAAATTGCCAGTTCCTGGTTTGACATGTCAGGCGAGGCCCACGTCTCAGTAACACCGATAGGGAGAGCTAAAGTGTCCCTACTTAGGTCCCGCAGCTCGTCAAGTTTGTTCAGTAAACTTTGTGCATTAGTGTAGATGCAATTTATGCTCTGTACTTGGAGTGCAATGCCCGTACTCTCTCTATTTTCCAACTGACTGGCTGGTTCCCCAGTCTTGGGGGCTGGAAATGTGTCTAATTGCTGACTACTAGTGTAGTGTTTAACGCTTCTTCCCCGTTTTTCGCATCCAGACAGTCTTCCAGGGATACAACTAGTTCCATTTTTTTCTGTTTTCGTTACAGCCTTTCGTGCTGCGACCTATCAGGCTGCATGCGGACTGCAGACGGTAGGCAATTTCTGTTCGCCCAGAAAGCCTTCAGTGTGGATGCTGCCATTTGAGGGGTAGGAAAGACCACTTTGATCAGCCTTGGTCTGGCGTCATCGTCTTTTTTGGGTATGCGTGAGACGCTTTGGGTGATTACTTCCTTCAGGTTCATAGTATTCTTGAGGAACTTCCACTCGCGAAAAACGTAGTGAATATCCTCGGTACCTGGGTTCTGTGGTATGCCTTGCACTATTAGGTTTCTTCCTCTGAAGTAGGCGTCACGATTGTCGCCCGACAGATTCTTTAGAGCTTTTCCGTCAGAATGTGGGATGTCCAGCAGTATCCTAACTTTTGCTTCAGCTTTTATTACGTGAGATGCCAAGAGTACATCCTCAACATCATTTGGGCTGGAGAACGTGAGCCCCAAAAGACGGGTTTTGCCCTTAGTTATTGGGTCAGGACCACGAGAGTGCCTAGTTGCAGCCACTGGTTTTATGTGGTCCGGATTGAGTTTTCTGCATACGTCCTCCCAAAGAACCCTATCACTCTTGTCCTGAAGACTATATGGAAGTTCAGGGCTGTCTGTCAGGTTCATGACGATCAAAGAATCATTCCGGACATTGGTATGTCTTGTCAACTGTTGACGCTCGGTCGTTTTTTGTTGAGTTTTCGTCTTTTCTCCAGCTTTGCCCCATTCGTGGGCAACACGTTTGCTCGTCTGGTAAGCTGTTTAGTGACTCGCATGGTCTGATGTCCATTCCACTTTCCTGAGGACCCATGTTTAGCTTCCCTGATTTCCAGATTACCCAACTTAGGCTTATCCCCTGGGTTTCTCACCTTCTCAGACCCGATGGGTTTGACTGGAGTTGAAACTCGCCTGTTATTATTTCGCACAATGGTTACCCATTCTCCATCTTGACCATCCTTGTTTGGTAGAACCGTTTTATTTTGCGCCTCATCTGTCGATGACAAGATCAGAGAGAAGGACCGCAGGACAGTTGATGTTGTTGCACTACTGAGGTGCATCATGTCCTCCGTCAAACCAGTCCCTTGTTCTTGCCCAGTGACTTGAGCACTTTTTCCACCAGACGACTTTCCAGCTCCATAACCCTCGTGCTTAGGCACTGCTTTTGAGTTTTCCAGCCTCCCCTTTTTATGATCTACTTTCAGTCTGTTTTTAATCCCGATAACATGCTGATGATGTTTTCAAGCACATCGTCAAGTTCAGTTCTACACAGGCGACAATGCCACTTGCAGCCGGGCTTACTGGGTTTGGTGTACTCATTTTGCGTTAGGTCAATGCAAGCGCTACGGAACCATCCGTTGCACGTGTAGCATTGCACACCCGCCTGAACAGGTTGACGACAGCCCTGCCTCGTGCACATCTGTTTGACAACCATTTTCGTTGAAAGTATAAAGAGGGCATATATTAAAAAAACTTAAAATATAAGCTCTGGAGCAGCTTGAGAAAGAGTGGTAACCTAAACGTTATCAGATAGAACCGAAACTGGGGCAGAGGTAAAGCCTCGTTATCCTAGTATCAACAAAATTACACGCAAAGGGTAAACTTATCGAACTGGAAGCTCGAAAGAATACTCTCACTGAAAACCGCAGCTGTTGTTGCGTTCGGCACAACGAAAGCTAAATTGCTAAATCGCGTTGAGATTACACTTCTTTTCGAAAGCAGCGTGGCCGACCCAGCAAGTGATTAAAAGCACACAAGATGCTGCTTAATGTCAAGCTAGGGCTTTCTCCAACCGCTCTGCCCGAAGCGATGTCCATGGGATATGACCAGATTATTATAGCCAAAGACTTTAATGCTCTAACTCTCAATCTTAAGCAGGATAAGGGAACCCCAAGCCAATGGTTCGACTGAAACCTACTCAGTACTACCAAAATGGCTGGACTCCACTAGAATATTAGGGATGATACCAGATGGGAGTCATCCAAACTGAGCTACCTTTTTATCAGTGACCATCCGCCGACTGAAGACGTTCAGGTTCAAAGTCCCCTTGAAAGTAACGATCACTGCGCGGTGGCGTTCGATCTCGAACTCGGTAAACAGCTGTCATGGGAGGGGCCTCGACTTTGTTTTTGCTACAGCAAGGCGGAATAAGTTGCGATGGACCAATATCTATCGATAGTACCGTGACCTCGGGAATGAAATAAATCTTCTGTTAACCGACACCGGGGACTTGTCGGGGATATAATCAAGCGGTTCGTCTCTGAAAACGTTCCAGTGATCACAGCAATACCGGGGAAGCGAACCTCATAGTTGAAGCTAGACAATGAACACCTTTTTAAAGCCAAGAGGAAAGGATGGCACTAGCAGGGGATCTCCAGAAAAGAGACCGATCATGCCACGTATATAGCTCTAAGAAGTCAAACCAACATCAAAGCAAGGGGAGGCAGGAGGTTGTTTCAGCCTAACGTTGCTCAAAAGCTTTGGGTGAGCCTAAAAAACCTCCGTCTATTTAAGGAAGGCAGAAAATCCACCAGCTGGGGGGCTTGGGTCCTGAAAGGCCCGGACGGAGAGAACCGTCCAATAATGTTGTTTGCTCCTTCTCTACCTACTGACTTCATTTCCTTACACTTTTATGAAAGCTGACCCCGCCGCCCCCTTTCCATGAATCTAAGGAGGTTTCTTCTTCCGTTCCGCTTCTCTTCACCCAATCGTTTCTTTTCCTTTTGTTTCTTTTTATTCGCACTTACTTCCCCTGACTTCTCTGGACGTATTTTCTGTCATCTTTTTCCAACCAGTCCGGCCAACTTTCTGCTGACAAGACGCCTGAGAAACGCATCTGTACCACAGTCCTTGAAAAAAACCATGCACTTTCTACAAATTTAACCAATACGTAACCGCCAGTCGGGAAAACCAGAGCTACAACAGCCGAGTGGGTAGACCCATCGCATCGGAATCCACCAAAAACCTGGAATCGTTCCGTAAGACCCAGGAGCGAGCACGGAGAAATTAGATGGTTTACAGTAGGTCGCAAAAAGATACTGGATATTATTATTATCATGTGAAGGTTGGACCATTGTCGAATCACTTCTCATTTCACCAGAGCTATAGCAAATTATTGATTAGATCTCCTGTATGAAGTGCACAAAGGATCTACGAAATCGCTGGAACTTCCAGGAGTTAAGCATGAAAAATTCTGTTGGTTAACACTCGCTGTGCAAAATGTATTGAGCATATTTCCAGAAAGTGGAGCGGCTTTTCCAACTGATGTGCAACTTCATGCGGAGTTTAAGGTTAGTCTGGAAGTCATTTACAGCTGCGTGTCTTCGATAAGTGACCAACAAGTATGGATAAACCCAACTGTCAAAAGGAAATGAATAAACGGTAGTTAAAAAATTGAAGTGTTTAGGTGGCTTTGGGGTCAACCAAAGACATTTTAACGTTAAAGGGGTTAGGACGGAAGCGAAGATAATGAATAAAGGCCACGAAAAAAAATGGTCTTCAATTTTCCAATAGTTGATAATGGAATAGAGGAAGATTTCACTTTTTTATTCTCCCTTTTGGTTCTTAACGTACATGCGAAACGTTGACGGCTAAAAATGGAATGGCTATTCAATTGTGGTCAAACTGAGGCCTTCATCGTAAGAGGCCCTCGATTCAGTGCCTTTGGGATTCAGACTGCTTATAGGAAGGAGGAAAATTAATCGATAACTTTAACCATTCCGATACAAGAATTTACTCCAGTAGGACAGACATAGAAGTAAAGAAACCATCGTTCACTAATTCTACAAAGCAATGTTCAGTGACGAATTAGTATTAGCTACTTCTCCACTGATGGCGCTCGAAGATTGAACAATTCTTTCTGAATAGAATTTGCGCCTTATATCTTACTTGCTATGTTTACTGTCTAACCTATGTCTCCCATGGTTGGCGTGGGCAGTGTGGTTGTGTATGTAATGAAGTGGGTGTCCAGAGGTGGTTGAGATGTTGTAAGCAATTATCAAACTCCCTCATACCTGTATTTTAGAGGATATAGATCAAGCACTATCAGTCTCTCCTATTGCTTTTTGACTCAAACTGGCTGTTCTAACTTACCCACATGCGTTCTAGACTCTGATTTTTGGGGTAACATAGGGTGGAAAGACTATAGTTCGCAACTCTATGTCCTGTTGCAAATCTGTTGGGAACGTCTACGGTCGAATTGTCCAGAAATCCTTAGTTTGGGTTGGGGTGGCCCGGAATGCATTTCTATTTCAGTTAGCTCAGGAGTCTAGGTTTTGAGGGACTAAAGCCCCCGAATCCTTCTCCACCTGCGACGCTTATATTTCTCTATTATTGAGACTATATATATGACATTTCGTGTCTTATATGTGCAACCTTGCATTTTTCCGGTGGTAATTTTTCGTGTAGGGAAATACTATTATCCTGACGCTCCAACGAGAGTCATTTAAATTTAAGCCGACTCAGCGCTTCAGAAGGCTGTGAAACAGACAGATTGATAAGCTGAACAAGTGTGGAAGGATGTGAACACTTATTACAGGTTCATCCTGGAGCAGTCTGACTGGCAACATAAATGAATGAGATCGTGTTAATCTCGACTACCTCATTGATAAATTAAGGCTAACTAGGACCAAACTCCTACTCATCAACCGGTTTTCATCCTATTTATAGGGCTGCATATTTAGCCTTAGAGTAAGTTAACTGCTTTTATCTACCCAACAGACCTCTCTGGTATGGTTGACAACAAACAAACAGTATTAACATAGGACCCGTCATTTGATGCGCAGCGGTCTAAGCTACCATATCTAAAATCACATCAAGTGAGAATCAACTTAGATAAAAGATAAAGAAATAAGGAAGAGTGATACAATAATCGAATTCGGTATGATGATTGAAATGAAGATAATATGTGGATACCTTGCACCACTAACATCGATTCTGAGCCCCATCACCTAGAGTCTCTAACCAGTGATTTCACTTTTCACGCAGACTCCAACTGGGAAGGGAAGTTTACACCTTCCTCACAATGCAAATATCAAAAGTCAGACTCCATGAACTTATACCCTTTTTTGATCTGGTCGCCTCAAACCTTGTTTTAGTTTGAACCTACTTCAGCTAACATTGTGCGATGAAGCAGACAGTGGCTAGGTATACTTAACAAAGGTCCCAGCCATCTGAATCGATTAAGGTCCACAACTTCACTAACCGACTCACCTCACCAACCTAAAACTATCCAACTGATTTATGCGTTGATGGTGTAATGCTTCCATGACATACAGCCTATGCTACGAAGACAATGATTTTGGAAGATTTGAAGGCTTCTTTTGTCCTTTACTTTTAATGGTCATGTTTCAGTCAGTTGTACAACACCAAAAGGGAGTAAAATGGATTCTTAATCGACAATCGGATGTCAGGGCAACACCGGATATGGCTCAGTGATTTTGTCGATCACTGACTGACCAGAACTGATCCGACTTCCCAAGTAATTGAAGCGGTCAACCACTTTACTGCCCATCATTAGGCCGAGCACCAACACAGACCAGTCCTGGGGTGGTTTGCACTGAAGTGGGGAGAAACGCAACCCGAACACTGAAATCGCCGCTTGAGGCATACGGAAATCCCTGTGTCTTGTCAGTAACCTCACGTAGTACGGCTGTTATCTGCATACTCTATTTTTACTAAGTACTCTTAATCGACAAGGTTAATCTGTTTAGTCGGACGGTGAGGAAAAGCCTCTAGAAGAGTACCTGTAACGAAACTATATAAGAATAGAGAGTTAATGTCCTTGGGGGACACCACCCGACGTACAAAACTCACCTGGTAACTCACGGTAGGCTCTAACTTGCCCGGGGCTTTTCGAATATATGTTTTTTGCATCTCCGATATAGGTGTTACGCTATTCCTTTTGTTTATTTATTGCGTTGATTCGATTAGCAAATATTCGGCAATCAATCTATTTCTCTCCACATAAGTATATTACACTTGCTTTTTCCAACCCTTTTGCTTGTTTATGTATTAATGCATACATTGCAATAGTCGAGCTTTTTCCCCAAATTGTTGGTGTTAGTGGGGTCTATCAGTCTACATTTGGCTATATTCATATGCTCCAATAATCCTATTAACACCAATCTGCTGGTTTGACCTATGTATTTAACCTCACATTCGTGTTGTATTTGGCATATCAAATTATTTTGCTTGACTGGGTCAATAGGACCCTTCAGCCGGGAGAGCTTATCTCTGAGTGAGTTTGTAGGTTTGAATACCACCTTGATTCCCCCCTTGTTGAGAATCCTACTTAGATTTTCTGGATTTCGTTCCGTACATGGTAACACTATATAAGCCTTTTACTCTTTTCTACTTGTTTCTGTTACTATTCATACTAATGATACTTCGTTTCTTATGTGCTCTTAAGAGCTGGTTAAGAAACTGGGCGATAATTATTGATCAGTAGTGTTTCCTATATATGTTTTGAATTCCTCATTTTAGCCCTTGGATTGACTCCTGAGTTTGCTAGCTCTATCGTTTAAATATTTGACTAAACCAGTGATGTAATTTGGAACTTAGATACATATCAGGTTGTTTTGTTTTCCTCTAGAAGACTGTATGCACACTGCCAACTGTTCACCGTTTAAATTTGCGAACCAACATAACTAATCCTTCTTGTTTACTTTCCAACACGTTAGTGAATTTGATTGCACCTATTACTTAGTTTATATGTGTGATTAAACTATCCAAATGTTCCGATTTCAACGCGGTAAGTGTGATATTCACATATCGCCACCATATTTTAGTAGGAGTAAACATCCGTAAAGAAGTGTAGTAGATTCACCTGAATGAACACGCTCAAGACTTTTTATAATTTCAGAAAACTGTCTGGCTTTCTTGTAACAGTAATTAATAGCTCTTTGTTTAGTAATAATTGACAAGTGGCTAAAACTTCGAGCGGAGCACTTTAAAGGGGAGCTCTGCCTGGCTCAAAGTCATACTCTAATCGACCAACATCCAGCTTGAACAGAAATGAGCTGTCAACTCTCCAACTCTCCTAAAAGTTGAGAAAGCTATTTTCAACTTAAAGTGATGTAAAACAACCGGGCCTGAGGTTTTACTATGAGAACCTTTTAAGGATATAGGTACGAAACTAGTGAGTAAACCAGCGGAAGTACTATCCATTGCATGACGGTCCCTTCTGACCGGTCTAGATCGTTAATTATTTTGTCTCTATTGGGAAGAAGTTCTCTCATAATATTCACCAGTTTGGCAAACGTCGAGTTCAAGGTCGTATGGTCCATGGTCGCCTTATTCATCTCTTAGCTGGAATTTGAGAAAATCAAACAGGTTTCAAACCTGAATGTAAGATGGTGCTTTAGGTTGCTTTTCGTCAACCAATGGTTCATGTATAGGAAATGGAATGTTAAGATAGTTCAAATGGCCTGGTTGTTAGCGAAATCTCAGCCAACATAAAAAAATACGTTTTGTATTTCCATATTATGCTATTTATGGCATCAATCTGGCATCCAACTGCATATTAAATGACTAGTAGACTGTGCAGCAGTCTTTTGAAATAACCGTTGAAAGTACATTTACAGGTTTCCGACTACACTTGTCTTCGTAACAATACTCGTGTGAGTGAAAAAAAACGTTGAGGTTATGTATAGAGTTATTAGGCAATAAATATAAGTCATCCGACGAAGTTATAAACCTTCACCGACTGAGGTGGCCCAGATATGTTTTCCGTATCCGGAGCCACTGTCCACCTCGACGTACAATGCTAACAAAATTAGGATTAGGTTATAAGAAGGCTGACTTTGGTTGGGCCAAGACGTGTCGCCAGCCGATAAAGTCTCTAAATGTTAGCCTAATCTGTGTAGTAAAGTGTGTACTGACTGGCTAGGTTCCGTGAGACAATAGGAATCACTGGTTGGAGATTCTTGGCTACGTGGCGGTAGATCGGCCACTGGCGCAGGTGTATTCACTCTTATGTCTTCTAAAGCTTGGACATTTTTACCAGCCTTGATCTCCGGATTCGTTTCCCTCCGATACACTTATGCCTACTTTGATATCCATCTTCTTCTATCCACTTGTTTGCATGCTACTGTGAAGTGTCTCAATTTCAACCGAAGCAATTCTATTCGACTATCCACGTTGTCTATCTGTATGGCAGCTCTTAATATATATTCAAACACCTTATCAGTGCCACAATTCATGTAAGCTTACGAAAACCGATGGAAAGTTTTGTATTTATATCATGATTTTACTTTTCAAAACTCTGTATACTATGATTAAGTTGATCAAAGAGTTTTTTACGAAATCTGTATGTGTTCAGTCAGAAGAATAGAATATTTTCTCTATAAGTAGGTATGTGAGCTACATAAAAATAGGGGTGGACACTGCGCAATGCCGTTATTGTTGTTTCGAATTCGACTTTCCGAGTGACAGTTCTTCATTAATATGACGTTCTCTTCAGAAACCAGTTAAAAGCACCATGTTTTCGAATGAATTACAAAATCTGATATTGTACCTTCGCACCTTCATACCTCAAATCGTTAGATTAATCTCAAGATTATAAATTAGGCCACTTTACACCTACCTAATCTTTGCTTTTCCTCTGCAGAGTCTAGAGTAGATGTTGGGTTAAACAGGCATCGTTCCAATTAATCTTAGTTACCGAAAAAAAATAACGACGTTGGTGGCATGATTTATGTATGGAGATGAAGGCTTTTGAGTTTCAGGCCATGATATGACAATAATCAATGGCCTCAAAATGATACAAACCGTCTGACTGCATTCAATCTTTTTTCGTTCTGACTACCTGAGAAGTATTTTTCATATGCTCCACTGATACGTGGTGACAAAACCCAGCTAATAAAGAAGTTTTCAGATCATGTTTAGATCATGATTTATGCATGCACTGACACGTGAACCTGATAAGAGAAATTCGACATACCACAAATCGGATTGGTTCATATCTGGCTTCGTTTTCTGAGAGTTTTGTAAATACATATATATCATGTATTTTGTCTGATAAAGTTGTCGTTGCTCTTGCAGTCACAGGTCGTCTTTGTCTTCTGTTTTTCCGCGGCTCAGTGAAGCATAAGGTACTGAGAGAGGTCAGTTGCAAAAATATTCGGTTGAGGTGTCTATTGAGTTTCAGTACCATTATACCGACGTCCGTAATTCTATTCAATCACAACATCCACCTTCTGTTTTTGGGAGTAGCTACTGGAAGGTTAAACATGTGTGGTGGGTTGTCTGTCTATCTTTTATCTATCAAGGATCTTGTTTAGTTTGATTGATAAGATATGTATATATAATGTAGTTACATATTTATATGCATTATCTATTTGAATGGTAACTCACTGGTTTTATTCGTTTTGTTATTATTCCAGGATTTGATGTCTTATTTTGTTCCTATGCGTTAATTTATGTTATCCTGACGAAACATTCAACTTGAAGGAAGAAAAAGTAACCTGAGCTATGTTGGAACAGAATGCTGATATGTTGTCTTTACCAAAGGAAGGTAGAACCTGTTGGATTTGTCTGAGCTCTGAGGTGGATTGTGATCCGGTCAACTTATGGAGTAGACCTTGTCGGTGTCGTGGTGCACTGAAATGGGTTCATCAAGCATGTCTCCAAAGATGGATTAGTGAACAGCAACGTAGCAGAGGGGAATCGAATGCTATTTCATGTCAGATATGTAACACACCATATATAATAGTTTATCCCAATTGCGGTATGTTTAAAAAGTTGATTTCTTTTTTTCGAATCACCTATCCCAGCATTACTGAACAGTAAAAAAGGGTGGAAGAAGAAGGACAGAAAGAGAATAAGTAGGAAAATTTTAGAACTAAAGTGAAAAATTCTACATAGATCCATTTCACTCCATCTCATTTAAATTTTTCATTCTCATTTCGCTGCCAGAAAACCTCAGTCACAGTGCATATTTTCTGCTAGCCTCCTATCAGCAATTAATATATTCGGTCGTTACCACATCTTTGTTTTACTTTATCGAGACTTATTTGATTTTTGTCCGGGTGAAACAAAAAATTCCAACTGATATACTTGGCATCTTCCTATACGATCTCTGATACAAATCATTCAGTCAGGTTGATTTTCCTACATTTGGTCCTAGATTTGAATATCGACCTTTATCTCTTTATCGTGATGTGTAAAAATAAAGAGCTGTTCACTTTTATTTTTCTATGTAAAATTTTATCATTAATTTTCCAAAATGTCCTTGGAATTGTAAATCATTTTATTGGTTGATAGTTTGCACCAACTAGGCCACGAGTTTGAAACTCCTTCCATCCATTAAATTTTGTTGAGTCTTCACATATTTAGTATAAATAATTCCCTTTTGCACAAAATTTCACTTGATTATTCAATCAGAATGAGTCTGTTGACTGTTTTAGGTCCGGGGAAAAATCTCTATGAACATTTTTCTTGTCGTTTTAGCATTAATTTTAACGTACTAAATCTATCAGTTTCGTGGTTGCCGCAGTTCAAATTCTGTTCTACCAACATTACATGCAATAATATTTTGAATGTCTTTCACTGTATGGTTACTGAATTTATTAATTATATAAGTTCAGTAGTTGTTAAAGAATTTCTCTTACTGCTTGGCTATTTAGTGGAAATAGTTGATGACTATTACTATTCCATTCTGTTTGTTATTAGATAAGGTTTTGAGACAAAGTTGTCAGACAATCATCTAGTTACTGTAGGGTAATGAGAAAGAAACCTAAAACTTTATTAGAAAACGTTTTGTAGACTCTATATAACTGCCCACATCGTCAAAGACAAGAATAGGGAACACTTTACTTGTTTTAGGGATAGATAAAATCGTCTGTTAAACATGATATTACCATTGGTTCATTGAATAGTTAATGATATAAAATATGATGGTTAGCAAATATATGAACCCTTTTAAAGTTTGACCTAAGCTAGTGTATGAATATGGGGCTTTTATTTACGGGAAAGTGTCATATTTGTAATGGTGGAGATGTGTTTCATTGGCTCAAGCACTCAGTTATCAAATAATGAGTCCTTGGTTCAAATTCCTCTTCTAATTTGGTCTAAATAATTGGGTAGTATTGTAGGTTATCACATACTAGGTGTAACTCATAGATACATGTTTAACCAGGTTGAACTGCATATTTGTGGCAATACACTAACCATCAGATTTATTCTCGTCTAAGCGTTCATTTCCTTTATTGTCTTTCTTTGCTTTTAGGATTTTTATATAGTGTTCTACAATCTGTTGACCAGTTGACTCGTTCGTTATCTTTCGTCCTCACTGGTGGAATTATTTTCGGGTCGTTTTATTGGTCTGCTGTAACATATGGAGCTGTAACAGTGATGCAAGTTTATGGCCATCGTCAAGGTTTACAAGCAATGCGACTTACAGATCCTCCTCTACTACTACTTGGATTGCCAACTATACCTTTATGCTTAATTCTGGCTAAGGCAATTCAATGGGAAGCTAGGCTCCTTATTTTATGGAGAAATTATATAAGTCGTTTACCTTTCATTCAGTTATTCAGACGTAAAGGTGAGTATTAAATGAATAGTTCCTAATTTACAGTTATCTGTTCTTTCTCTAAACTATAGAAATTTATTTCTAAATAGCTGTGTATATCTTGCTTTGGCTAATGTTTAATGTTGTATCTTTATATTATTGGTAAGTTATATAATTGTGTTTAGTTACAAACTCGGACTACTTTCCAGGATATTAGTGTCTATACACAGGATTTATGAACAACCTCTACGTTTACGCTGCGTCCATTTTCCCAAAGTTAGCATAAAATGGTAAGAAGACCCAGTTAATGTGAGAAATGTGATGTATTTGCGCAATTCATTTCGAGCAATCTGATCACATATTTACTTGTCAAGGTATTTTTGTGTGCGAAATAAAAATAGAGTTGCGTAAGACAAGTGATGGTTATCATAATGCAATCTTTGAAAGATAAAGCATCATAAGAAAAAATAATATATTTCACTCCAACCGTGGTATTAAAGTGAAATAAAGATTAGCAAAAGAGATTCAAAGGAGTGACAAATTGTTTTCGAAGATGCAAAGGGGATTCAAGCTTTCATATAGCTAAGGCTTCAATAAGTCTGAGTGTACACTCCTGTCGGCTTCTATTTAATCGTCTAAAGGCTGCTTAGGCACAAATCCTACAACCTGTTTCTATCATATATTCATCTATAGATGATGTCCGTCTAGCCTCTGTATTTATTGATCTGTTTGAATGTAGTTGTTTCTCCGGTATTTGAGAACATATTTCACCCATATCGATTTCATAGTCCCGTTTCTCCTCCCACTGTATATGTTTCTGCATCCAAATGTACATTGGTATACGCAAAAGGGTTTGACGTAGTCATCTATGTATTGATAAGGTTTATGTTCTGTTTTCTGTAGGATAATAGGTTTGGCTGTATAGTATGTTCCCCCTATATGTAGCGCGATACGCACGTCATTTTAAGAGTTTAAGTTACGACTGGTCGGACAAAACATTTAGAACATTTTTTCGCATTCTTAATTTGGTTCCATTTTGACAAGATAAAAAACAAAGACGGAATTTTTTTTTTGAACCGTGCGATGTATTCGTGCAACACATTTTGAACAGTCTGATCACAAATATTACGCAAGTCAGTCACATGATTCCAAAAAATCACATCTTATTGTCTTATCGAAGTTTAAAAAAGGAATTAGTTGTTTTCTGTTGTTGTTGTTATTATCGGCTTTCTGTCGTCTTGATTTATCAGTCTACCAAGGTAGACTGGTATAAAATCCCCTTACAAAGTATGGTGCATACGGGTGACAAAACCTATCAGTAAATGAGCTGAACAAAATAGTAGAAATTGAAAGCGATGAAAGTTAACGCTGTACTAATTTGCATGACGAAGACTCCAGGAAGTTGCCATTGGCTTGTATTAAATAAAAACGTCAGGATGCCCGGTTTCCGAAAGTTGGGGCTCTCTGAAATGTAATTATTCGATGTGAATGTCTTTCATTTTATTGGACTATGCATAAATGGGAATATCCACTCCTAACCATCTACTTTGCGAATCTTTGAAGCTTTAAAGTCAGTTTTTCAATGTAACTGAATTAATGATGATCGCTATGATTAAAAAATACAGATTTTAGTAGTATTACTATCATGCACCAACAGGTTTTTCATCAGTTTACATTGTTGTTGTTTCATGTATGAAACTGATCTAACCAGTAATCGAAACAACTACATCTATATTTTTCCTGCCTCAACCACTTTTAAATAAGTACCTACGTACGTTTCTGTCGATGTTTAACAAAAATTGAAACCACTATATTTCAACAAACTGCAGAGATATATCAATAGCTGCCTACGCTGGACGCTGAAGATCAGATGGCCAGAAAGAATAAGCAACAAGGAACTCTGGCAACGAACCAACCAAGAACCTGTCGCCCAACAACTATACAGAAGAAAGTGGAGATGGATTGTATTGGACATATACTGAGAAGACCGTTTGGGGATATCACGCACCAGCCCCTCGAGTGGAACCCAAAGGGAAAACGACGAGTTTGGCGTACGAGAGTTAAATAAAAGATCGTGTGAGGAAGAAATGAAAGCTTCTGGGCAGTCATGGAGTCAGGTTAAAAGGAAGTGCAGAGAAGAGAGTGAAATAGCTACGTGCTACTAAAGCCATATGTTCTACTAGGAACCCAAGGGACGAATAATAATAATAATAATAATAATAGTACTATATTTCAATTAAATAATCGTCTGATTCTTCACATATCACAAATAACTCGTTATTCGAAATAAATTATTATTATCTCTTATTATGCAAATGAATTCCACTGACAACGGGTTACCATAGAATTATTTAGAAATCTATATATTACTACACAACACCAATTAAATATATTGATTTAGTTCATTTGTTGAGAAACGGCATAGAATATACTCTTAAAGTGCAGTTGTCAAAAATGTATTCAATTTGTTGACCTTGTATTTCTTTTACCTAAAGATCTTCCTACTTGGCGGCAAGCGAGTGAAGCTGAAATAGAATTACGCTCAGAAGTATCTGATATACCACGTGTAATCTGTAGTGCATTAGCTTTACCAACAATATCTACTATTCTTGGACGTTTATTATTCCAGCGGGTAGAGTCATCTACTCGTAGAGTTTTCCTGGTAAGATAAATTACTTTTCTCACGTATATGTTATTAAACTGACTGATATGTCCTATATGAATAGAAATAACTTTCATGCTTATAAACATCCAGGCCATAGTTTCTACGAATGTCCTGAAAGAAGTTGAGCGCCGAGTCATATAATCCCAGAGTTGGGATTATATAAACTTTCTCCAAAAAAAAAAAAAAAAAAAAACTTACCTATATAATAACTTTTATGCTGTTGAAATAAAATGTGAATTACTTTTCAATTTTATGCTAGTGTCTCTTAAAGGAATACTTCTCAAAAAATGATTTTCTTAACTCAGAACGTGTTGTACAATGTAGATCGTTTGTACATCACGTAGATAATTTTGTTAGCATGGGGTTTTAATCCTGGAGCTTTTCTGTACCATCATCACCAATATCAACATAGGACCAGGCGTTACTGCGTAACGGTCGGAGTTGCCACAGCTCATATCAGTACATCAATTACCATTCTACATAGCAATACCAGCAGACTTGAAGAAGTGAGCTTTCCTCCGCGGTTGCTCTAAGTAGTTTCTCCTTATAACACGGTTTGTGGTTGGATGTTAGTTTAGTCGTATTATCACCGTCCGCCAACTTATTTCAATCTATGATAATTCTAACCTTATCTATCATCTCTTGTAGGTATTTCTATCGTTTTCTGAAATGAAGTGCCTATCAATAATTAATTTAGTTAAGCACTATTTTTCATGAAGCAATTTTTGATTGGTTGAAATTAATAGTATGCTATTGTATTGTTTTAGACCGGTAAGTGTTCACAAAAAAAGTCATCGAATGATTACTCTTCACCTATGATTATTCCTAAACTGAGTTGATGATGATCGCGATAATTGATAAGTGAATCAGTGGTTTAGTATTTTGAACAGCTAATTAAAATTCAGAATGTCAGTGATTAGTTAGTTTATCAACAAAACTAATAAATTGGTCGTTGACTCAATTATCATTTCTTTTAATATGCTGTTGTTTATGCACAAGGAATAAAACTCGAAATAATGATGTCATCTAACTAATAGTATACAGTCCATCAATAATAGAAGTGCATGTTGCTTGATGCTCTTTCTGTCTCCAACGACACAAAATTCCATCCCAATCCTTATGTTATTTGCACATGGAATTATAACCGTCCTTAAATATGCCTACCTACTCGTGAGCCATCATGATCTTCGTTTCAGGTTACTTACAACTCTCACTAATTTGAAGGGAATTGAGTTATCCCCATTAGACTGATTGCTTAGCGAATTCAGAGTAGCTGTTGGCTATTTGCACTTTCCTTGATAGTGTTCTGCATATCCTTTCAATTTTCTTCCCTATGAAGCGACCACAAACCTGTCCTTGTTTGCTATAGTCTCATTAAATACTAACGTTTATGCCCATTTCAATATATTTAAACACGTGTTGTCACCGCTGCATTTTTCATCTCTCTAACCTTCCCTTCATGAAATTCACTCAGCAACTACGTACAGCAGTTTGTGAACCTCACTTGTTATGTGATAAGTAGTAACTAACTGGTTGTCCAGACCCTCGGTAGGCGGAGCAGGGTTCGAGCCTATGGCCGTCGGTTGGAATTCTAGTGCCTAGATTATTTAGCAACGGCCTTTCTTACTCACTACTGTTACGTAGATTGTTTGCAAGCATTATTTTAAGGTGCTTCTGCACTGTATTCTTTTCGGTGTATTCAGAAATGAAGTCAGTCTTATTACGTCTATTAGGCGTCACGTATAAACTTGATGAGTGTTGAAGTATTTACTACTAAAGGAGCGGAAATCTTCCATTGATCCTTTTCAGCTATTCATTTCGTCAGATTCAGTTCACTCACTCAATTCCCTTCTGTGTTTATTTCAGGGGGGATTGACGTATCTCGGAATCAAGGGTCTACTAACTGTGTATTATTGGGAGTTACGATATTTTCGGATATGTTACAGAGAAGTAAAAAATTATGATGAATAAGTATTGTCTATTTGCTATGTTTCTAAACAACAAAAACTTTCTTTCATCCACCATACTTTTTTTCGTGTACATACCTGTTAGTTTACACAAATATCCGCACAATTTGTCTTTACTACGTAAAAAAAATGCAACTGTTTTGACTTTGTTTAGCTGTTTTAAAACTTTCTTGATTCTATATTTACTGAGAAATTACTTTTTAATATTTAATATCTAGTATGTTTGAGTATTACTTTCGAGGAGCTATACTTAACTTTGAAATTTTTCTGATGTCATATCCTCCAAAACATGCGATTTCATCAATTTTTGATGATTACACCTCAAGTGTAATTTCACAGCTAGGCGTACACTAACATAACCCTGAGTTGATGATATTAACAGCTTTGATTGCTTTACATTGCAGAGTATCATTTAATGGTCTGCTAAATAATAAAAAACTCAGACTGTAGTGACGCTAGTCAGTCAAACTGAATTAGCCTAATGTAAACAAAACACTTGCCATAGAGTCAACCATTAGCCTACTAACAATGGCTGTTGACGTGCAGCCGACGACATCTTTACTAAGATTCATATACAGTAAAAACAGGATTATTGACTGTGGTGTCTGTGCTTTATAACACCCACTACCTTATCTCGCATATTAGGTAGCTCTTACAAAAAGATTCATGAAGTGCGTCAGATTCACCTGCATAAACGCACCTGAGGGTTGCGCACACTCGAAAAACTATCCGGATTTTTCGTAATAGTAATTAGTAGTTCTACATTTAATAATTAGTCTATAAAGTTTTACATTTACATTCGAGGTGATTCAACAGAAATGATAGGTTCAATACGGTTGAATGCCAACTGATTACCTTGATCGATCAGACAACTAATCAGAAGAAACCATGACAAACGTCTCTAGTCTAAATTACTCATAAGTAGTTAAACTAGTGACATTCAATAAATGTTGCATAGTACGAGAATTCCTCAAACGAATTACGGTAGTCCTTCCCACCATTGTTGTTTCATTTGATGCAGTATTTTGAAAACTTTGTAGTCAACAACATCGTAAAAGTATCCAACCAATACACCAGTAGCCTCTTCACTAATATTTTCTGAGACTAACGAAACCTTTATTTATTTAAAACAAACTTGGTGCAGCATGGGCAGTAGGATAAAACGTAATGTGGAAACAACTGTTTATTGATTCGAAACGGTACAGAAAGACTGAAATGTCAATAAATGAATGAACAGCTAAGTGCAACAAAGACAAACATAAATATGTTTAAAATTGATAACCACAAATCTCCAAACTGAATTCAAAGACAAAATAATGTAGTTAATTTATGAAAGTGACAATAGGCTGGATAAACGAATACAAAGTTAGTAATACAGTATGTTCGATCCCTCACAGTGGGATTTCATAAGAGCTTTGAAGTCTTCATATTCGGTGCTGTTTCATTGTTTGTAAATAGTGAGGCTTCTCGAGCTCCCAGACTGAAGCTGCCGGTTGTTTTGGAAATCCTTGACTTCAAGTCCAATCCACAAGGTAGCGTAGATACTGCATTCCCATGGTTATCGATGACCGAAACAAACTAACTCATGCCATTATGGAACATGTGTGCACTGTTGAATAGTAAATGCAATTCGCTTCACCATCGCCACAGTTAAGTGAGATGCATGACCTCATGCTGTTGTGCAGTGAGCAATAGACATACTCTCAGCACATTTGCATTCACATGTAAAAATAACGCACTGTTCAGAAATATGATCGAGTCATAGCATATTAATATGGATTTAACGTATAACTTCAAAAGAATGAAGTGTCCTGCTAACTGCTGTTCGAAATGTGGTTTGAGACTTACCAAAGAACGTCAACTCCTGTATTTCCAATGATTGATACAGTGCAAACAAAAGTGAAATCGATTTCCGCGTAAAACGTGCTTATCATTAAAGTGAACATCGAGTAAAAGAAACCGAGATGAAAAAATAAAGAAACAGGACCGACATGTGATCAAAATACATAGAAGATAACTAAAAAAGGTGAAATAATGAACGAAATGTCAAATAACGATCGAGTTGAAGATAAAGTGTGAATCCATCTAAAGCACCGAGGCCGACCCTACCTAGAATGTCCAAGTATTCATTTTGGTTTTTACGCAGACCAACATGGAGGCCTACATTTCTCAATACTCAAAGACTTCATGGACCGACGCCATCCTTTGGTCTAGTCACCTAAATTTTACCAGTCTAGATCTGACCCAGCTAACACTGCAGTCGGTGATTAGGCATTCGTAACATATACCCCAGCCACGTGAGTCGGTGAAGGTTCACAACTGATTTCCCTATTCTGACCTTCATGTCACTGACGCTCTATACCACAACGGTGGTCGAAAACGTGAAGCTTTATGTCGTCTACTTTTAAAACGGATGTTTCACAGCCGTATAGTAGAATAGAGGACTGGAGCGCAGAACACCCTACCCTTAATACGTAGTCACATCACAATAGCGAAAGCCGAGATATATTTTTGTGTTCGTGTAGAGATTCCATTACTCACTGACGTACGAAGGCTTGATCTGAATTCCCAAGTAAGTGAAACGGTCAGCCAATTCACTACCCACTGTTAGGCTGGGCTCGAACCCAGATATTTGCTTGAGAAAACACTCGAGTCTTTACTTTAAGTTCCTAGAAGGCTCTGGGTCTTGTCAGTAACCTCACCTAACACGTCTACTATCTGTAGACCCCAGGTGTACGAAGGAGTCTTCTGTGAAAGCAACCCCATCTTTCCAAGTTAGTTAAGTAGTCAATCAATAGAAAAGTAAGAGAATGTGACAAGTTTTAGAATAGTTTTAAGTTTGTTTCCTTCGACCCTCTGTAGAAGACGTAGTTGCATCACCTGTAGTAGATGGGTGATGATGTGGGTGTAATATCCACAACACATACAATCAATATGGTGTGGTTTTATGGAGCTAGTCAGTATCTTAGATCTGCTCTTCAGCCAGAAGACCAGCAGATTTTTTTCATCTTTAGCTTGCTTAATGTTTACATATTTTTCTTGTAAGTGTTAAAACTAGTCTGATGAGACTTTAACGAAAAAAGCATTCCCACAGGAGTTTGATTTGCAATTCGATATTTGTAAATTTAGTGTTTCGTGGATTAGTAACTGCGAAATGCAAGATCATTGAGTTTATATTGGGGATATGCGTTTTGAGCTATCCCTATATGTGCCAACCCATTTCATGAAATAGCTCAATTTATTGTCATTATGAAATTATACTGCGATACAGAAGGTTTAGAAACAAAGCGAGCTTTTACTGCTGGGTAGTTCTAACTCTCCGAGTTCGCCACTGATGAGTGAGGTTCTCTGTGTGTTCAGATAAAAACATCAATATTTAGACACCTGAAAACTAGTCAGAAAAACAAAAAACTAGGCGTGTGCGACGCTACAGTTTGTGTTTAAGGGTAAGAACGGACAGAGAATTCAATATGTTTACATGCCTTTTTGTTTTAGCAACTGTTTATCTGATACATTTTTACGTGAATATGCACGACAATGTGTCGGGAATACATTAACAATAATTAGTAAATCGTTCTTTTACTGTAAATTTTGAGGTTATGACTGTTTGCCCTAACTGAAAAAACTGAAGACAACCTATTAGAGTGATGTTTTATACATCCGTTGAACTAAACTGACCAGAAACTAATGTATTACTAAATATATGGTTAGGTAGTATCTAACGCCCGAAATATCACTTGTGAGCTTATGGAAACGCATGTTTGACTTTTGTCAATCTTCAGTAAACACTCGTTGCATCGCTGATTGTAATTGGTATGAATGTTATACAAAGCACAAATCTCCTTGGTTACATTGATGACAGTAAGCACTGAAATATATTATATTTTAGATCTGTTACATCCAACAGTTCATGAATATCAGCTTGGTACACAAACACGCATCATACTGTACTGGCTAAATACATGTAGATGAATGGTTACAGTATAAGCTTCCAAAATATTGATCCTGCGACGGAATCAGATACATACACCATACTGTCAACATCGTCAGGAGATATTTGTCTGAAAAGTACCGATACTCATACACATAAGTCAGGAAAAATGAAGTCCACTGTTTTTATACACGAATACTAATCTTTTGCAGTTACTTCAACTGAAAATTAAACAACAAAAGACGAATTTATTCATTCATACAACAGAGACTAAAAGTATACAGAAGGCAAAATAAAATGATAAGTTAAGAAGAATGACTTTACGTTATGCAGGTATACACTATAACTCTATACAAACTCAGCTGGAAAATAAATAACTCAGGTTTCGAGTTTCAGTGCTGTATAAGTGGTATATAACTCTTCCTCAAAATGTGAATGTTCTCAATCTGCTGCTTATTATCACATATTCTTACGTTTACGCTGGTCTATGATATTTTTAATGTAATATTCTCCGGCTCGATATGATGAACGAACTAATGGTCCGCTAGCTGTGTATAAGAATCCCATATCGTTACCAACTTTTCCCCAATAATCAAATTTATCTGGATGGATATATTCTTTCACCTAGGAATAAAAATGGTATCGAAACAATAAATAATGAATGATTTTACGTTAGAAGACACAAACATCTTCCAAAGAAATATTTAAAAAAAGAATGCTGTAGTCAGTCAGCATCAACGTACTGCGTAACGATCCGTGTCGCCAAACCCCATATTAGTGCATCAAGAAAAGAAAGACCACGATGAAAATGACAGAAATAATGAAGGAGGTAATGAAACATTGCAAAAAGAGAGGAGTAGATTCAGTAAGAAGATGATATGCCGATGCATCCGTGCCCTTGCGATCTATTCTCAGCCGTACCACCCAGTCTTTCAACCACCAGTTTCTGTGGTGACGTAGGCCCCAAACCGAAGTTTACATTCCCTCATACCAACAGTCAGACTCCATGGACCAATGTCCTGTTTTAAGTTTAACCTTTTTCTAGTCGGGACCAATGTATCAGCTAAAAATGTGAGATGGTGCAAGGGGTAACTAAGCATGCGTAACAAATGCCCAGCCACCTGAGTCGCTGAGGGTTTACAACTCGAGCTGATTTTCCAGAATGTAGTTCGGTCCAACAAATCGAAAGCACTCCTAATATCGACAAATACGACCATTATTAGCTTGCAATACAGCAGTGGGTTAATTCGAAGGTGATGGGGCACCCTCATTCTAGTATACCTTCCTTAACAATGTAGCCATTTCCATCATTATAATATTACCTCTATCTTTAATAGGAGGGGTCGGTAAGCTGAGTACGGCGCATGTTTTGTGCAGCTTCAAAACATGGTGCTCCTTGCGGGTGTCCGGTTCGTTAGGTGGGCCGGTATTAGCTGACCATATTTCTTGAACAGTACGTCAATTATATTGATTTCCGAAGTGCCACGTAAAGCGTTCCAGAGGTTGCTGACCGACGTACCATCTACTACACAGTTTCACCAACACCAGGTTTTTTGCTTCCATTAGTTCGGATAAGCTGCAAAAGCTCCTGACTATTGCAGGATATAGTCACTGTTTCCATCTCACTTAGTCATTCGGACCATCGGAACTTGTCGCATAGGTGAATTACGCGCAACACTGTACTCCCTGCCTGTTGGAATACACCGACGACCTGTGAAAAGTTGCAAGAGACTCACAGAAACCCAGTGTTTATTACCGGGACGCCCATCACAGCTACAAGTAGCTGAACTAGCCGTTTTCAAAACGCCTTGTAAGTGCACCTAATGCTCATCAATACTTTCTGGGGGTTTGATAACTAACTAGGTCAGGTATTTGTTTTGAATACTGGGTGCAACCAGTTTGCGTACGTTGATCTATTCAAGAAGACGATTTGGATGACCACCAAAGAGCAAGATGAACTCAGTACACACTAAAGCGTGATCGAAGCGTAGACAAGTGCTTTGAAAGGAGCTGTAGTGCTGAATACATCCATGCTGTCAGTAGCTGGTTGCAATATAATTTGATTCCAACCTTAGGTGGCAGAGGGAAGACGTTAGGTAGTACAATGGCGATGGCAAGAAACAGATTGTGATTCACCCAAAGCTGCGGAGGACTTTCCTCATTAATTGACGTGTGACCAAAGAGTTACCACTGACCACATAAAAGACGCTCATCTGAGCCTGGAGATCAACTCATGTACTCTACGCCACATTAGCAATAATAATAATCACTTTATTCCACACAACAGTTTTCAATACAGTATGAAATTCTCAGTGTGATGGTTAAAAATTTACTCTTTGTACAATATTTTCAAATTAAATAACCATCGCAGTTAAATAATGTTAATAATAGCAGTATGATAAGCAATAAAACACGATGACCAAGTGTTTTTAGGTTGTGTATATTGTTGCACGGAGAGAGGGTCGAATGGAAAAACACCCGTAGGTTTGGTGGTGGGGGAACATTCAGTCTGCATAAAAAATTGCAGTTCCTGTTAACCATCCCTGTAATACTTGGGATGAACTGTAGCAAACTCAAGAGCCTACTGTCGTCTGCCGTGATATTTTTTGGCAGTTTTGTTGTTAACTAAGATGATGATAAGTCGGAGATATTTTGAGGATGAGCAAGAGTATATTTTATGATTAGTTGACAGTTGGATAATTAAAACAAGTACAATAGGGGTAATTTGATGTAATGTGTGATGGGAACTTTTTGGTAGCCCAAATTTTAAGCAGGAGCACCATTGGGGTCCCAATCTACATCTATACGAGCAGTTGGATAGAAATGAGTCCATCTACTTTAAGTAGGTTCAGAAAAGAAAGCGAAGAAATAAGACAGTAGGAACTAACTTCCTATCAACACAAATCTGAATACTTCAGATGAGCAAATCAGTGATAAATGATGACAATTTTGTGAATAATCCAGCTGAGTCCTGAGTAGGAGGAAAAACACGACCTGGATTCCACTGCTAACCATCACCAAGTAAATTGCATCATGCAGCCTTTTCTTCCGATAGTTTCTAGAGTGGCTATTCAGTTTATTCAAACTAGAATGTATTGGAAATTCAAATGAGCTTACTTTTAGATGACGTCTGGTTGGTTGCACATACTGCCCCAGTGTTACACAGTCTACTCCTGCTTGGCGTAGATCTTTCAGAGCTACCATCACTTCTTTTTCCGTTTCACCAAGACCCAACATAATACTAGATTTAGTGATGACAAGAAAATCTGCATTTCCAGATGATACAAGGCGATTACTACGTTCTTTAGCGGTTTCTAGAGCTCGAAGTGATTGAGTGTAACCAGCACGATGATCACGTACAACCCTAGAAATCAAAGAAATATTTTAAAACAGTTATGTTCAGCTCAGCTACCAACAAAAGATGGTTGATAATAAAAAGCTATATAGGCTAGATTAATAAATATAAAAATTTTTTATTGTTCACTGTATTCAATCAAGTTAAGCAGTACAACTAGTGACGGTTTCAATGACTCACTTCGTCAGCTCCTACAATCTTTGTGTACTTTCATTGTAGTTTCAAAAATGAAAAGTAGTAATCGATCAGAAAAAAGATCATTTGCAACATTATATTACACAGTTTTAAAATAAATATGACACCAATTACATATTATCTTACTGAATATTTCATCCTTTAATGAAGCTTTTACATACTTTAGATGACATGTCTGGTGTGATGCTAACACTTATTGAGTAGTCGCCAAAAAGAATTTTTGTCACTATATCATTCAGGACTTAAGGTCAGTGATCAGCTGTCTTAATCTAGTTTGAGTAAATGGAAGTGTATACTCTCCATTTCTCTGCAGATTTTGTTTCATGCAATTTATGTGATGTACAGGACGGTAAAATAATGGTGGATCTGAATAAATATATAACTAAAATATAGGCAACTTTGGTCCCAATACTTATTCGTTTTTTATATATGAAGTACTAAAATTAGAATAGTGGTTTTAACCACAGACAAGACACCGAAAAAATCCTCATAATGCATTACATGCGTAGTTATAAATCTCAAACACGTAATTAATAAATGAATTACTGGATCCCATCAACCAAAACACGACACACAGACTCAGAGGAAACATAAAGTGAGGTTTAACAAGTCAAAGGCAACTTACCGTTGTAGTGACTCCACAGTTTCAATGTTATGCGCGTACACTTCTGGGTTGGCACGAATAACCATGTTTATGGAATCTGTACAGCCTTGGAAGTCTGGTACTAAACATTCTACCAAAATTGATGGTTTACGTGCTTTTATTTGACGAACTAGGAAAACATTATTGGAAAAAGATCGTAAGATAAAATTATTTTTAGAGAAGTTAGACTTTGATGATAATAGTCTAGTTACAAGTTGCGATAATCTTGAGACGTTATAAATATTCTAGTTCAAATTATCAAAACCAAAGACTTTTAGAGACATAGAGTGAAACAGAAGTTACAAGCATAAACCTGAATACTACAGAGACACTAAGATTTCTGTCGCTCTTGTCTACACTATTATTAGAATACAAACATGGTAGAGCAAGGGCACTAAGAAATGGGCCCCACAAGTTACTATAGCAATCATAAATTTCATGAAAGTATACTGTAGTTCTTGTTTGTCTATGCAGCTATTTTCCTTCAAATATCGTATGAGAAGTAGAATAAGTATAAAAAGTATATAGCTAATAAATAAGCATCTGAGATCAGTGAGTTGAATTATAGGTGTCTTTATCAGCTGCGTTAGCGCGATCTTTCCTAAGTCCACTGCATATTCCTAGTGGTCAGATCAAGATACTTTATTTTTAATGTGCTGTAATGAAGGCAATCAAAATGAGGCCGTATTGACACCATCAACTAAGGTTACTGCACAGATTCAATCAAACCAAAATAAAACACAAATTACACTGATTTGTGAATTCGCATATTTCTAGTTACTTCAACTGAGTTACAAATGTGATATCTATGATATAGTGAATTCCACTAGAACGATATTCCTGAACTCAGAATTCAAGTTTAACCTGATAAGATGAACCCTTGTATACCGTCTGAATTGCTATAAAAAGAAATATAGGCGATCGTTGTACAGTGCAGTTCATGAAGTGCAGAGAAACCCTCCATAACAGAGTATTTCAGCAAAAAGTTTTGAAAAGTGAGAAACTTCAGTAAAACAAAGAAGTTTCTAATGAGAAACATCTTAGCTAAAAGTAAATGGTCGAAAATAATAGATTTTCAGCCAAAAGTAGGAGAAGGAACTTAAGATATCGTTCAAGAAAGTTCTTAAGATGAGGGTAGTCCATCGAGAAAAAAGTTTCTCTTCAATGGTGACTATCAATATGTAATCCTTTAGACCAATTAATTGTTGTTCCAATGAACATATCTCAATCGTAAAAAATGTACATATAGTACAGTTTTTTTTTTTTTGCTTTTTGCAGCTATCGTTGTATTCGATGTAATTTTTTTGTTTCGTATAACACGGAATTTCTTGGGAAGCTATAGACCAAATTATATTTCGATTATTAGAAAACTCGTCACGTCAATTTTTAGCCAATAATGTTGGAGTTATGAAGTGTAATATAAATATTCATATAACCTGTAATTTGTGTCAAGGGAAAGTTGTACAGAATACAGAAAATATCACCATAGGATCTAGCGTTGCTGCATAGTCCCCCAAGTTGCTACACTTCACTTCAGTGCATCAAGGCGAAAAGTAAGAAATAAAGAGGAAAGCAATCAAAAGTGATGGAAAATCATCAAAAGAGGGCAAGGAGGAATGAGATTACTTAGATGAGTAGCAATATCATCACTGGATGAATATACACGCCATTATGGATCACAACGGAGCAACTGTATTCATCCTTTATCATTTTCAACATTTAAATAAGCTTTATTCATTTACTTTCTTTTCTCTTCTACATTCTTGTTTGATTCAGTTTCACACCTTTACTATCTATCCACTTTACATTGTGATAGTGTGACCTGATGCACTTCCATGCGAATTTCTACATCAAATTGTCTATTTGACACCGATGTATAATCTAAATACATTTTAATCGACTAATACAGAAGCCCATCACTGTTTACAAATAGAGCCTTTTATCAATTTTATATCCTTATTTTTAAAATAAACACCACTATTTAGTTGCATAAATGGTATAGGACTCTGAAAATATCATAGTTGAAACGCCTACACTAAAAACTGAACTTTTACAGCAGCTGAGTTATCACATATCATATATTGATTAAAAAACACGTTTCTCTGTATTGAGTAAGCAGGGAATTACAAAGAATATTAAGGCGAACGGAATAATAAAAAAAAGGATTAGAAAAAGCCGCCTATAACATTACTTGTTTCAGCAATATGGCGAGCACCACCATCTACCAAATCGTCACGATCAACTGAAGTTATTACAATATAGTCTACATCCCAACGGCTTATAGCTTTAGCAGTATTAACTGGTTCATTTGGATCAAGAGATGGTGGATTTGGTGATGTTTTAACTGAACAAAATTTGCAGCCTCTAGTACACGTATCACCCATTATCTACAAGTGAAAGTACCAAAAACAGATGAAAAATGTATACAACTATCACTACTACACACCTGAGAGAAGAATAAATGTTTTAAACTTCATGTATTTACACACGTTGATAAATTTGAGAAAAGCAAAAGAAACTAGATTTGCAGAAAAGAGAAGACAAGGATGGAGGAAGGAATGTTTTTTACTAACATGTGGTACAGTAGTCGTTAAATATGATACACCTTGCACTACGACAGTCATTTGCAAAATGTGCTTCATTTCCTCTTCTGCTTTTCCCTTGATTTGCTCTGGATACGCTTGCGTTGTCTCTTGCATTTCTCTGGGCAGAATCTTTAGCCATTGCTGGTAATTCCCTATGCTTTCTATCCCCCTCGCAATATATACTACTTATATCTATTCTTACCAGTAACGCCAACTACAGTATCATTTTATTTCAGAAATACTCCTCAGCTACATTACAGTCTAAAAGTACAATAATTATTAGCACATAAGATAGTTTTAAATTGGAAAGTCAATAATCTTAATTTGTACACAAAGGTAAGAAATATAAGAAAGGAACAATTCATAGTGGGTGAGTAAAATAATAAATTACGTAATTAAAATGAAAAAAGATCAAATTATAATCACCATGGTAATGAAGCAAGATTCTGATCAGTGCAATTTATAAACACCTCATAGATACAGCATATCAGGTTGATACCTCAGGCGTTATTAAAATTACAATTGTGAAGAAGAATACTTGGAATACAGTGATTCGCGGAAGCAATTATTATAAAACGCTTTCAACCGGACTTCTGAATAAAGGAGGAGAGTCTAGTTAATCTTTCACTTCCATTGTGACTACAATTTGATCTTGTTCCACTTTAATTACGCAATTCTTTATTTTATTCACCTAGTATTAATTGTTCCTTTCTTACATTTCTTACTCCTTTGTGTAATTCCCTTTTACGAAATATACAGATTAGGAATAATTTTGCTGGACAACCTAAGAGCAATAACTTCTTAATTTTAAATCAACTTATGCGCTAATAAGCATCGGTAATTTTGGACCGTATGCTGCTGAGGTATATTCCTGAAATAAAATATTTTCTTCTGTAAATCTAGTCCTTCGAGCCTTGTCCAAATAATTTGAAAACACTACATGAAGCATCTTCATTTTGACAGGAAACACGTCGATAACAAATCCTAGTTCGGTGCATAATTGACAATAATGAAGTTGGTTAAGCATGAAGAGTTTTTTCCCTTCCTTAAAAGCTAGTTTCGTCCTGCTAATTTTGTGGGCGACAAAATCATGACAAGAATATAAAATTTTAAGTTCGTTTTGGTGCTTTTAACGCTTGCGAGGTACTTGAATGCTCAAGGGATCAAGCACACTGAGTGGGAAACGAAGTAAAGGTAAAGTAGTTAACAAATTTATAGCTTAACTAGACGGTGATAGCTGAAGAACAACTTGATGAAAAAATACTAAACGTGGTCATACTAATAAGCTGACAAACAGACAGACAAAAACAACGTAGAACCTAGCAAAGAGGTGCACCCGTCCAAGTCACTACACTTCACAACTGCATATAAACAACAAGTGGATAGAAAAAGAATGAAATAGAAGTAGACGAAGGTGAACGAGACGAAAAGGAATCTGGAGATTAAGGTTAGTGACAATGTTCATGCTTTGGAAGACATCAGAAAGTGAATACATCTGCGCCATCACGAAAGATTTTCCGCCACATCACCAAGGGTCTCCAACTATTGATTCCCATTTTCTCATCGACTTCATCGACTGAGGTGGCTCGGACACGTATTGTGCATGCTGAACAACCGCTTACCTCGATGTAAAATGCTGGAAGAAGTTGGATCGGGTTGGAAGAAGCCTCAGGATGATCGAAACAAGACTTGGCACCAGTCCATGAGGTCTTTATCTGTTAGTCTGAGGCATGTAGGAAGGTTCCGTGAGACAATGGGAACCAATGGTCGGAGACCCTTGGTGATGTGGCGGTCATAATGTTGCAGATGCACTCACTCTTTGATGTCTTCCAAAGCTTGAATATTTTCACTAACCTTGATCTCCAGATTCCTTTTCGTCTCGTACACCTTTGGCTAATTTGATATCATTCCTTTTCTACCCGCTTGTTGTTTACATGCATTTGTGAAGTGTACCAATTTGGACGGGTGCACTTCTTTGCTAGGTTCTACGCTGATTTTATCTGTCTGTCATGTTCTATTTTAAAGTTACTCACTCAAATACTTACTAATTGTTGACTTCTAAATACATTGTTTCTCTTAGTACATATGATGCCACAGGTTTATTTACTGGATCGAGACATACTTTTTATATGAGGGTCTGTGAAACTGTTCTTCTATTCAGGTCGAACCAGGTAGCTTACAGTTTGAATGCGGGATGCACTGCTTGAAGGTTAATGGGTCAAACTAATCAGTTACCCATGCCAATCAAATATGTATTCAGTTGTCTTTCGCCATCGACACACTCAAGTGAAACAAAAAACAACAGCAACAAGGTCTCAGCAGAGTGCAGTAGAATCTAAGAAAATTCCATTAACTGTTAAGGCAAGGTAGCACCCTTTTGCATATCTTTTCTTAGTAATTAGTTCAAGTTGTCACAGCTCACCACTAACTTATGATATACAATTGTTCGACCCACTATTATTCAATTGGTGATTAACTATCATGGTCCTACTGATGATAATATTAAGCAAACTATATTACAAAGCGAAACGATCAACTCAGTTCACTAAATGACTGACAGTAATTCAAAAAGTTATGCTGAAAACTACGAAAAGAACAACAGATACTTAGCGTAGCTGGGTGAAAGACACTGAGTTCCAGTTAGGCCTGAAACGCTAACACTCAGTGAAATTTATGTACATTTAGCTGTTCGGTTGGAATGTAAAGAAACATGTCTCGGCTCTTACTGTTAATCAATAAGAAAACACTAGTATACGGCTTCTAAAATATCGAAAAAGATCCTTCAACCACATACACTCTTATCTAATTATATACACTTACCATAATAGTTGCTGTAGCCGCTGAAGAACTACCACCACTCCAGCATTCACTAAGATTAGGACATCGAGCTTCTTCGCAAACCTAGAAAAAATCAAAAAAACCATTTCAGCTAAGTACCATCGAAGTCGGATATCGGTTTACACGATTCTGGATCAAAGGCAATTGGAAAGTTAAAAAACAATAAATATACCCTAGGGAAATATTTCACTTCATTGTCTACTCGCAATTAGAAAAATGATCATAATAATTATATGGAAAACTCCCTAAAGAGGAAACATGTTACAGTAAACTGAAGATAAAAATTATGATTTTAGACAATCCTTATAAACAATGACGCATATATTTAAAAGATACAGGAAAGCATCTACCACTTATTTCATTTACTTCCGTCTCCAAAATAGACAGTGCTGTCAGTTAGTACAGATTAGGTGTAGGTCATTGTCTAGTAAATGAAACTGTATATGGTATCTGATTGTTGGTTAGATCCATGTAAGTAACTTAAAATTCCCTGAGTCAGGTTCAAAAAAACGAAGGTTGGTCGCTGGAAACTTTAGGTGATAGCTCTGAAAGTCATCTGCTCTCGGGAACTTTGTCATATAAATTCTTGCGCCTTTTTATTGTCTCTTATTTTACCTCTTCAATTGTGCAATTTATTACTCCTAACATTATTCGAACTGCTTTGTCCTTTTTATTGCTTTGTTGTGTTACTGTAAAATTTGGTAGCTCAGATTAATAAGCAACTAAACAATGATACCGTATACTCATTCTTTCTGTTTTTGTGGACAGATCCTTAGTTTCCTCAAAGTACTACTTCCAATATTTCGAGTCACACTTACTGCTGCTTACACGTACTTTCATACACTTTTTGGGATTTGCATGCTGAGTCCAACATTCGGATAAGTTTTCCTCTTAGGGATTTTTTTGACAGTATTCATATATTTTGCCTGCAGGTATTACTTTCGGGATACAGGATGGACAGAGAACAGGTTGAAAGAGTCGAAAAACAGAACTATTAATATCTTAAAGCAAACGAATGAAATGAAAAGCCAAACAAAGTTGTTTTAGTCTGTTTGGTGGCTGGTAGTGGAATCCAGGATGTACGTTTCGTCCCATTCAAGACTCGTTAGTGGTCTAGTGGATAACGCTTTGGCATTTGAAGTGATGAGCACTGGGTTCAAGTCTCACTGGGGTGCAGGCAAATCTAGCTGAATCCCGAACAGGACGAAAAGCGCGTCTTGGATTCCGATACTAGCCACCAAGCAGACTACAACATAATGAATATCCGGTACTATCGAACCATCTGCATAGAAGCCTATCTGCTAACAGAGGTTGAGTAATTCAACCCAGTAGAGCGACAAGGAATTACAAGTATTAAACAACAAGGTTGTTTTGCATTTATTGGACAGTAAAAACACCAAAATAGTGGACTTCAGAAGTATTTACAGAGGTAAGGAAATAAATTGTTGGGATGCGTCGACAGTTGAGTTTCTCTCATACATTAACCAAGTGAACAAATACTGCTAGCAGATTCTTGAAGGTAGGGTTAGAAGTGAACAGAACTCCATCTGGTTTTACCTTTTGTTTTATTCAGCAGAACTTCTCTTTAAGACAAAGCGAAAACTTTTAAGACATCCAAGATATTCATAAAACTATGATTTTTAGTTGCTCTGCATCAAGTCGGAAGGTATTCTGACTTATGAGATTCGGCAAAGGTATTGATGAAAACCAACTACCTTCGCCCTTTTAGTTAACACTAACTTTCCACAACCACCATTCTACGTTCTAAACCACTTTATCATTTCTGTCTTAGCGATTAGGTGACTTTGAATTTTACAGCTTCATTGCTAACCAATACCACTGTATGCAATGCGAATACAGCGTATTTTTAGCCTCCCGAAATACGAAAATAGGCTTGTATTCTTGTAGCATGCTTAGGTATACAGTAATCAGTGAAGCGCAGAAGTGGAGAAAAACACCTAAGATGTTTATTTTTTGATATATATTGTCCTCATACCTCCAGATGACCTCAAGCATCAAAATACGAGACTAAGGGAAAAGAGAAAAACTCGTCCGAAACACTTAATTCAACAACCTCAGCAATAGGAATTGTCATTGAAACACAACAATTTAATAAAATACACACTATGAAGCTAGTGTTTGGGACCAAATTTATCCAAAAGGTTGTACTTGAATAATTGGACTCTTCATCCTAGATATAGATGTCTAAACTAGGCTGAGTTTCGGTGGTTTGACACAGAGTAAACAATATTCGGTATAATAGTATTCGTATCTCCCGATTAATGAAATAGTTACCCAAGGTTATTCTTACTGACATCTCGATATCTAATGTTAGTAGCTTTATCAAAGTACAGGTAAACCGGAATTCACAATATCCAAGCCTATATTAAATATGACAAATCGGTCAAAGTCCTTCTGTGTTGTTAAATCTGCATTGTTGAGAATGACAACGAACATATATAGTTTGATAATTGGGTGGATCACAAATTGAAATTTGCACATACATATATGATTACAATTATTATCGCAAATGTATTGGTTATGTTAGTTTGTGGGTATAGGATGAAAATAGATTAAGCCATGTTTTATTCATTCATTCTTATTTCGAAAATTTTGATTCCATTTTAAGGTGATGAAAACAAATTTTTGTGTTACATTCACTGGGAAATATAAACATCAAAATAATGAATTTTGATTCGATTTTGTGTAAAAAGACTTTGCAAGGAGACGGTCCTAATAATTTTTAAAATCTTTCTGAATATTGTTAGTGGAATTAAAGTCTATCGCAGATCTGAAATTCCAAGACTTAACCATCACTTTTAATAGATGCACAGTTTACCTCTCCTAAATTACAATTGATGAGAATAAAGAGTAATCAAATGTACTATCATCTTAGCCTTAATAAGTTGATTTTTTAAATATTTTAGCAAAGTTTAGTGGTGAACTATAAGTTGAAAAAAGGGATATGAGAAAGAAAACGTTAAACGAAACTATATTTAAATGACATTACGACTTCAGTTCAAATTATCAATTTAAATTAAGTTAGTACATATTTGTATACTAAGATATGAGCTAAACTTCCTTTGCTAAGATTAATAAAGATAATCAGTTGTCAAGGTCGAAGTTGGTCTAGTAGGACTTGAACTTGCAACTTAGTTGAAAAGCAAATACTTCGATACGTATAGATTAGAACTACTCTAACTTGTGCTAATTTACGTATAGAATATGCTTTCTTCGTGTGTACATTTTTCATGATGCTATGAAGTGTAACTACTGATAGGACTGAGTATTTATTGTTTCAGTTGTGTAAGCTCAACGATTCAAAAATTCTATTAGTTAGTTATCTTATATTTAGAAGAAATATTTCTAACTTACGGTATGTAAATTCAATGAACGTAGCTGTTTCTGTAAGCGTGTAACATTACCACCACATGGAATTTCAGTCTTTAACCAGTGTGGAAGACGGAGACTAAAAGGTTATAAAATAAATATTATCAACTTCTGTAACGCTATATAAAGCTTGGCTACGTGATAATAATAAGGCGTAACTAAGAACACAGTTTAATTCCACTTAAAACAGCCTCTACAAATAGCCTAGAAAGGATAATTATCTGCGTAGAGCTCGCTTATTGATTAAACTATATGTAGAGCCATTAACCTTTTGAAATGATAGAAAAGATTTTTAGTTAGGAATGAGGATTTCCCCTGAGTATTGACATTTTGTCGTCGTGACCAAATCAGACTATGTCAAAAAGGTACAGGAATTACTAAACGATGAAAGTATGCACCAACCATTAGACCGAAATCCATTTAAACAGTTGAATAACCAGATCCAAAAAAAACTCAGGAATTTAGCGAAAGCTGGTCAAATCACAAAAGAGCAGTGGTGGTTGAAGACAAACGGACCAGTCCTAGAGAGGTTCCACGGTCGACCGAAGATACATGAGATAGATATTTCATCACGGCCAGTAGCTTTACCATCTGGGACACCACTCCATCTATCGAAAGAATCAAACGGAAAACTTAAGCACCTCGTCAATAGATATGGACAGTGAGTCAGATCAAAAACTAAAGTTTTGGACAAAACGATTTAAAGATAGACCGTGATGAAAGGACGGTATTCTTTGATGCGACTTCACTACTATCCACTCTCATCGATTCAAATATACCCAAAGAGACAATGGATATTCTTTTGAAGGAACGAAAAAATAGCAAAGCTCAGAGAACACCAACCATTAACTTTGCACATCACCAAATGCGTTACCAATATACGTAAATTCCTGTTTTCTGTTTGTGATTGAGTGATATAAGTCGGATGTGGAAAAAGATATTGCCCAATTATAATGACAGAATATGTCACTACACCACGAATTGCCTCAGGCTAGGAAAAACGAAACATTGGATTCCCAACTAGTGATACAATGCGAAAACTTGCCACAAGATGCTAGGGGTTGACGATCAGTACCGTTAAAGCAGCTGCTCAAATCTGTCTGGTTTTTACTAGTTCTTTGACAGATGACAAATTGTGGTGAAAATCTTAATCGCATTGCCTGCAAACAACATATATCATGCTTTAACACACCAAGAGTATGAAAAAATGTGAACGATTGCGACAGGAGAGACTACGGAGAATGTAGACAAGTTTTTATCAAGGTGATCAATCAATAAAACCACTGAACAATATGGTTCAAAGATAAAACTTGTTTCCCCATTACATGACTCCCAATAAAAGAGAGGAGCATATCAATATCAGCGTCATGGACAGACAGATCAACACAAAAATGAGTTAAACAAGAACCACTGCCTAAGCTCCCAATAAAATGGTTTAAAATGAGTGACGTATTCATATGTGGATCATGAGAGATCTTTACGTGGTACATCTGGTATTGCGCTAGTTATGTTGAAACTATTCCACCTTATTCACCTTAAAATAATCAGCGAATAAATCATACTGTCTGAAGTTCTGTGATAACCAGCATGAAAGCCCACTGAATAAGCCAAGTTAATATTCGTGACAAAAACAAAAACAAGTCAAATATACAACATAGAACTTCGAGTGTTCTTTTGAAACTATTGGTGAGCTCGATAAACCCTTTGAAATCTCGAATTCTTGACAGTTAAAAATTCACTTTTTGAGCTCTCAATATGATCTTTGAAAAATGAAATCTGAAAAGTCCGGTTATCAGCGAAAAACTGATTCTGCTTTCTATAAAATTAACCTATCGTATCGTATCTTTAAACATACCACCTAAAAGTAGCCCAAATGCTAAATTATCTAACATAGTTGATGAGATTTTGGCTCACAAGTATGTGTTTGTATTCTCAGAAACTATTGTTTTACAGATCCGCTTCTTGAAAACTTCATGGTTGCTGTTTGAGCGAAGTTTGCTGACTGAGGTAGGCTAATTCCAAATTTTTCCCCCAGATATTTCTAATGATACAAAAAAAAAGTCCGAAAATAACTGAAAACTTACAGACTCCTGCAAAGCATATTATGAAGAATCGTATGAATTAGTCTCTCAAAGTACGCAAAAATCGCCGAAGCCTTAAGCATAACTTTCAATTTGAGAGTATGCCAGCAATCTGCATATAGATGAATAGCGTACGGTTTTTCGTCAGCTTAAACAGCTTCACTAAAACAGAAGTAACAAGGGCCTGTAAATATCTAAGCGTTACACCGTGCTTGATTGCTGTTTGCTAAGTTCACTGAGCAAAACCCTGAAAGTTTAACTGTTTCCATCTCCAAAACTTCATGGTAATACTAACCATAAAATAATTTGGTAGTTACAGTCAGTAAGAAAAGATTCATGTGGTGCTGTTCGCCTTTTTAAAGTGAATTAATTTGGCTTTGAATCGACTTGATTGTCAGTTAAGTGGTATTTCAGCTCTTCCAAGATTCACTTGAAATATCAAAACATTAGGTTTAGCTTCATATCTTCCTGTTTTTTAGTACACGGGATTAAATAATTAAACTAAGTGGTTAGAGATATGACATAGAGAATGGATTTTGCTAGAGTTGCAGGAATACTTTACTAACAACTATAAGATAAACATCAAATGAAGACTAAGCGCTAATTCCTTGTAGATCTCTAAGGCTCATTCACAGTTTTATCCAATAATCTAGATTTGGTAATATAATGTTGACACTTTGACCAATAAAACACAATTACACGAACTTACAGAGAGAGATTTATGCAACCTGTTAGGTACATATAAGTAAAACCAATTTGTTAAACCTGCTGCGTTCCGTTGACGACATCACAAGACAGTTAAAAATCCCTCAGTCAATGAGCCACAGCTTTCTAAAAAAGGGTTACTGTGATATCTAATTGTTAACTTCTCAATATATTTTTGAACAAGTGGAGTCTTTTCTAAGCTTTCCAATACGACTACATCTTTGTTAAGAGCAAAAAGTTAAATCTAATCATCATAAAAAAGATCAAAGAAACTGGCAAATTATGAAATGTAAACAGATGAATTACCGTTCATTAGAGTTAGACACCTTATTCTGAGATTCATGAGTATCTACATCATCCAGTTGCTTGTTTTCACCCAGCTTGATAAATTCTGAAAGACTGGGACCGTGAGTAATAACCTTGCGAAATTCAGAAGAAACTTCTTGAGTAGGCATATCTTTATCCTTTCTGACTTCTTCAGAATCTTTTGATTTGTCAGTAGATGAATATGATTGCACAATACTGAATCTTATGTAAGATCGTACAATTCGCGGTTTAGCGCTTAGTAGCGCAGTCGTTAGTGCAGGATGCATAGATAAACTTCCTGTTAAAGATAATGCCATTTGCAGGTTTTGAAATTATAGACTGGCTTATTGTGAGCCAGTCCTGTAATCAAAGAAAAAAAATGCAAGTATTGATCAACTGAGACTGTTTATCATTTTTTGAAAAAGCAGGTTTTTTGAGAACATTAAAAATTCCTATTGTTAAAACTAGAACAGGATAGGTAAAATAATAGTACCATTTTTGATTGATTCTCCCCTAAGCTTTAATCTGATATGCACAGGTTTACTTAAGTGCATAACCCTAAGGAGCTAGATTATATTCATAACGCCCTAGTTGCAATCAGTTACCCCATAATTTAATAAAAAGGAACACAGATAACATAAGCAGGGAATATGACATAGTGACTGTTTAAAAGTGATTGTTAGGAAAGCCCTGAATGAATGTCGACAAGTCTAGTGACAGTTTTGTGAACCCTCAAAAAACGATAATGCTGCTATTTTTTTTACCACCTTCAAGTTAGTTAACCAATATAACTTGAGTGAAAGATATATTTAGAAGTTTTCAGTGATGTGAATTGATTAGGTAAGCTGCAGAGACAGGATCAACACAGAACCAGGCTTTACCATGTAATATTTTAAGTTATCATACCTCGTATAAACACACCAAGCGAGAAATCACCAAGATGAAAGATGGAGAAATAGAGAAGGAAGCAGTCGAAATGGTAGAAAATTGTTATAAGATAACAAAGAGGAAAAGAAAATACTGCATTTTGTATGACGAATAAGGTGAGGACAATGTATGGATACATTTGCGCCATTGAGGTCGATTCTGAGCTACATCACCTAGTCTCGAGTCGCTGGTTTCCGCTGTCACATGGATCCCAACTGGGAAGTCTACATTCTCCAACACGCCTCAGACCAACAGCTAAAGTCTTCATACACTGATGGTATGTTTAAGTCTAACAGCACCTAACCTTTATCTAGCCTGAACTCACTGGAGCTGTGGCTCATTGGCTTAGACAGTTGACTTTCAACCCGCCGGTCACGTATGTAAACCCCGCTCCACTTACTGAGGTTTAGCTAGCCAGGTGATATCAGTAGCCCTTACACAATAGGTGCGACGCACTGCCTGCTCTACGAATGTGAACAAAGTTGCTGAGTGCACTTTCATTTTTGTTTTCGAGCCAGAAACTAATATGGCTAATACTGCGCGGAGAGATAAACGGTGACTAGGCATGCGTAACACAAGCCTCAACTACATGAGCCGATGAATGTTCCAAAACTGATTAAGTGGTTCACCTTTTTTACCTAAAAATACACACCTCACTTCAACATTACTGACATGGTAACACCAGGAAATATGACCTATGCTACGAAGATAACGATGGTCAAACAACTGAAACCTCCTCGCATTCACTATCTTCACCAGCAATGTTTCCCAGACATAGCTACTTCTCTACGGAAAGCTGCAGCCGGCATACTACTGACCAACTTAATAAAAATATTTTTGGAGAACTTACAATAATAGCGAAAAAAAGGAAAAGTTAAATTAAGAGTAAACTCAATTCGGACTGATTAGATCGGTAGTTGAAAAGGAATTGACAAGGATAATCATCATCATCAATATCAACATAGGACCAGGCATTACTGAGTAACGGTCTCAGCTGCCACACCTCATATCAGTACATCAAGTAAAAAGGCAGTGAGGCGAAAGATGAAGATAAGAAAATTCAGTCATAAGAAATGTAAAGTGCTAAAAGAGAGAAAGGAAGAATGAGAAAATGGTGAGATTCGGTATAGCGTCGTTAAGATGAGGATAATGTGTGTACACATCTGCACCACTGCCATCCATTCTGAGCCACATCACTTAGAGTCTCCAACCACTGGTTCCTCTCGTCCCGTGGACTCCAACCAACTAGTCTGAATCGCACCACATGGCTCAAACCAACAGCCAGAGAATTCATACATTGATGCCATGTTTTATTCTGGTCACCTCGAGCCTTTTTCCAGCCTGAACCTACTTCGGCCAATACTGTGTGATGAGGTAATCGGCGACTAGGCATACGTACCACGTGTCCCAACCATCTCAGTCGATGAAGGTTCATAACCTTGTCGACTGACTTACCTCTACTCCATAAAACTCTACAACTGACTTCTGCGTTACTCACATGGTGACACCAAGGAATACGGCTGATATTACGAAGGCAACAGTGGTCAAACACGTGAAGCCTTCTCATGTCTTTCACCTTCAATGGCCATGTTTCACAGCCATACAGAAGAACAGACCGGACTGCTGTGCAGTACACGGCTTAAGGAGACCAAAGGTGCTGTTTTGTGGACTCGGATCGTTGTCAAAGGCTGCATAGGTGGGAGAAATTGAAGATGATGTAGTATCGTTGGTTGAGAGACGTGAAGGAAATAATGGTGGAGGTGGATAGCAGTCTGAGGAAACTTGAGTGCTGACAGAGTTGTGAGGGCGGTTGACACTTCCCGGCTGCCCCCACCGTGGAAGGCTATTTCTTCTTAAGATACCTGAAAGAGATTTGTGTGATCGCAGAGCCCATCGGACATCTGCTTGAGGCCTGTCGTAATCAGCCTTTTGTGTGTGATTATTTTGAACTTTTGTTGTTTTGGGGCCGGATGGTCTAAAAGAAACGACAAATGGACCAACACCACTGACCCGGCAGACCGTGGGGTATGGTGAAGTGTTATTTTTGTGGCCCGACCTCTCCTTACCCCTATCCCCCTTCCACTGAGAAGGCAGCATCAGCATGGCACTGCTGGCCATCCAAGGGAAACACCTTACTGCTGTTACACCCCATCCAGCTAACAGAAGTACGACTTCGTCCTCAGACCAGCATCATAGTGTAGTAATTTATACCACAACTGCTCTTCGATTAGCCACTATCCAACAGACCTTTCTGATGTGATAGGACCTCGAGGGAACAAGTGTTCCACCAGCATAGCTCGTTAAGTCATTGTGATATGCAAGCCCGACCACCACGTCAAGGTAGCAGCTATCGGTCGTGAGGCAAGGACAAAGCCTTCCAAATATGTCGCACCACATCAAACATCTCAGAGGTTGGTAATAATCTTTTACAAACAAATGAAGTCATCAGAACTCGAACAAAAGACCCCATTGTTTGCAATCAGATAGCCGCTTTTTGTATAAGATTTATCTTCACTGGACAAGACCTGATTAACGATTTCATAGATTGCCTTTATCCTCTTTGCGTGCTTCGATTCCCATTATCTCCCCAAAGTAATTGTTGTTAACTAACTTCATCCATTATGTATAAGCAACTTTTATTTTATAAGTCCCCTCTAATAGTTGCAATGTCATTATTATGCAACGCATAAAGATGAAGTTAACAGAAGAATTACAATGCAGTTAGTGACAAAGCATAGGAAAAGAGGAAAATCAAGTAACAGTTGGCAAAATGCTAAAAATATCGAGAATGATGAAGATTGCACACATTCACACCAATATGAGCAGCTCTAAGTCAAATTACATAGGTTCCTGGTCAGTGATTCTTATCATCGTGGAAAATAGGAATACAAAGCCAACTTGACTCCAAAGCCATATTAGTCTGCCTTGAGAAGCAAAAATTAACAGTTAGCTACTTTTCCTGGGCTCGATGAAGAGATACGTTAGTAAAAATAGCAGTCTACGGGAAACCTACTTTGGCTAAGCAATACCTAAATTTCAACAGTATCTGTCTAGTGAAGTACAAACAAGGTTTAGCAAAGTGCTTAGTTAGGAGGGTCCAACGTATCTGCACAATAGATGCAGTAGACGAAGTAGTCGAACTACTGACTAAGCATTCGTGAATAAAACACATCCCTAGAAGTTCATTATTTGATGCAAAAGCAATCCCACTTTGAAACTTAATCAGTATTCCATCGCGAGAAATGATGTGTTTATCCGTTTATCATATACGGACGATTGAACAGTGAAATTTTGAAGTTAAAGCTTAATGCAGTTACTGTAACAGATTGGAAGTGATCTACAGGAAACAGACACATTCAAACAAACAAAAATCTGTCTTCAATAACTGTGAGTACCCGCTTTTAGTCCGATTAGATGAAACATAGAAATGTGCTGGATGTACCCACACAAATCACAGTTGAGCGACATCGGAACATTACAGTACAGTTTTAACACATTAGTAACTAGAAGTACTGTTGTGAGTTGTCAACATTCGTCAAAATTTTTGGGTCTTAACCTGCAACCAATGTACACAGGGCAGTGAAAAATGTATCATCATATCCAAAGACCACAAACATCTTAAAACAGTAGTGAGCCATTTGAAATAATACTTTTCTATATCACAAGTGGTATGGAGCAAATAATCAGTAGCTTCAGGAAATCAAAATCGATAACGAAAATACTAACCGTTGGACGGAAAACAATCGACAGGAGTGATGACACAGTATTTTGCATAGGGGGCTCACCTGCCTTCGAGAATAAGTTAATGAGTGTGAAATGCATATTCACCACTTTAAAATTAAACTTTCCTCCGAAATGCCAGATCATGTTTTAACTTCTATTTAAAAAGCGCCATGTCCATCCATTCGACGAGGAATGTATAAACCACTGAGAGTAGGTGGACGAGAAAAATGAGATGAAGAACGTACCTTTTGCGATAAAGGTTGATAGCATCATTTTTCCATGTTATATATCTGTGTACCAGGAGCCTAAAAGCTTATCGAGTCACCAAGTCTGCTGATGTCTGGCTTCAACATTATACATAACGAAGCTAAATCTTGGTTTCACAACAAACACGAGGTTGAAAGCGATGATGAAATTCAATGGAAGCAATATTTTATCAGTTTCTCAACTTTAACACACATAGGTAACGCAGAAGAGATGAAATCATGCGTGAAACGCTTCAGAAAATACAAACCACCACGTCACCCGACAACTGATGGTGATTAAAACAGCCTACATTGCAAACCAGGTTGTAATTCTGAATAATTTTCGAATACATTTACGCCTCATATATGCCTGCTTGCGCCTCTTTTCTTCTATATATTTAGGGTAATCGCTTTTGAAGTTG